GGTTTATTGCAATGATAGGCACAGCATATACACTGTCAGTAGAGCATTGTAAGCCTTACCAACCAGCCCGGTACACTTTGCCCTTGAGCGTTTCCCGAGCATCCCGTCACAGCAGGATCCAGTGACTCCTCCATTTCGTCCATTGGCGCTGCGTTGATTCGCCGGTCAGCAGCCTGGTCGCTTGCCATCAGTCTGTGTTGCTCTCTCAGGTACGGAACAGTCCTCGACCCTTTCGATGCTCTTTCTGTGACGGTCCTACGTGGTTCTGGTACACTATTCCAGAGCTCCAGAACCTTGGTTTTCTTTACGTTCAGCTGGAATCCATTCTCAACGAGCACGTCCTGCCACAGCTGCACCTTGTCCTGGAGTTCTTCCTTGCTGTCCGCTATCAGGGCGATCGTAGCAGTAGAGGATGATTTTCAGTAGCTCCCTCCTAAGTGCTTTTTGCCCATGACATCCACGAGTCAGGAGGAAGAGGAAGGGGCGGCTGAGGGCTTGACCCATTGTACCGCAACTCGCGTAATGGTTTACTCTCTTGTCAACCGTGAGGGGTGCGTACAGCTTTGCGCTTTAAAAAAGGCCGCCATCGTACATGTCGCTTCACTATGGAGATAAGGTGTTTCCGTAACGTTCAAGACTCGTGAGCGCTCTTACAGAGTAACAGCCTAGCGCGAGGTCGAATGCCTTCTCTAGGTCCAGGAAGGCTAGGTAGCAGGGTCGCCGCTTCTCGTGCTTCTCCATCAGCTGTCTGGCGATGAAGATGGCGTCAGTGGTGGACCGGGCATAGAAGCGAACTGTTCCTGGCGAAGATAAGGGACAAGTTTCCTTCAGCCTAGTGTTGAACGTGCGCTCTAAGTTTCATGGTATGGGAAGTCCAAGTTGATCCGCGGTAGCTGACCGACTCGTCGGGTCCCCTTAGCTGAAGAGTGGCGGCACGATCTTGCTGCTCTCCACCGATGTCGACCATCCTTCCATTCAGCTGTACGTGCTTTAGGTTAAGTGCGTGAGCCAACTCACCCAATGCTCTCCAAGAGCCTTCCACCTCTATCGGTGCCCCGTCTAGACCCACTGCTTTCCCAACTTTCATTCTCCCTAGCTTCCCAGGGCGGACTTCATTCTTCGTCCAGGGAGTGATGGGACCTGCCGTCGCCTCTATCGTGGGCTATCCTTGCGAGGGAATTCTTCGTTCAGAAGTCCCTCGAAGTATTCTTCCCACCTCTTCCTGACTTCGGCTGGTTTCCTGAGAATGGCCCCGTTGCTGCTCTTCACAGTCTTTACGACCCTGATGTCCTGAGCTGCGCGATGCCGAGCTTTAGCCAGGCGGAAGACGAACTTGTCCCGCATCTGCGACACTCCAGCTTGTCGTACAGGGCGTCCATTTCCGTATTCTTGGCTCTAGCAACGGCTGCCTGTGCGAGTCGCTTGCAGCTCTTGTAGGCAGCGTAGTCTTCTGGGCTCCGTGTCTTTTGCCAGCGTTTGTATGCTTCCTTCTTCTGCTTGACGATCCTCTGGACTTCCTCGTTCCAGAACCAGGCTGCCTTGTCTCCTCTGATACCACCTCGCGTCTCTCCCAGGACCTCCCTTGCACACTGTAGGATGACCTCTGCTGCGTAGGTCCAGGTGTCCTGGACTGGCCCATGTGGGTCTGGGAGCCCAGCCTCCAGTACTCTTCGGCCGAGGCTATCCTTTTCTATCCTTCCCATTTTCCAACACCGCTCTGCTCACCCTCGTCTCTTGGGGAGGTGTATGGCGATTGTCTGCGTCAGCAGAGCCTGTGCTGAGGGCGCCATGCTCTTCTCCAGCAGTACCTGATATCCTTAAGGATTTGAGAGAGCCGGGGGGAACGATCTTCTGGCCAGGACATGGTCGATTTCCGTTTGTCTCCCTCCACTGCTGTTTTGGGTCCTCCTTTTCGCGAAGAAGGTGCTGCAGATTGCTAAGTCGTGGCTGTTGGCGTAGTTCAAGGGATCGTCGTCCTCCCTCAGCGTTCTTTGTCCCTATTCCTTGACCTCCGTGCACCCTTTCTAGACCCCTTCTGTCCCTCCCAACATGGCCATTCAGATCTCCAGCTATGGTGAGATAGTCCTCTTCCGGGAGATAGTCCCTCTTACGGAAACGCCGATGTTATTGGCCCTCGTCTCAGGGCTCAGGTAGAATCATCCCCTTCTTACTTCTGAGCAACACGGACTGTGGTGCGCCTACAGTCAATGACTGTCCATGCCCTCCTTCGTGTCCATTCTCACTCCATGAGATCCCCGTCACTGATTCTGTTCAGCAGTGGAGCCGCACTTCCTTGGGGATTGATGCTCGCCGCTATGGCCACGCCAATTCGCGTTTTGCGTGTCTGCTCCCAATGTATTAGGTCGTTGCACAAAGAAATGCAGATTTCGGTTTTTTTGTATTTGTATTTAATACTTATTTTATTCCAATAAAATGTAAGTGTTATATATCATTCGAAAGCTTATCTAATGCTCTTTCTAAATGATACTTCAAGATTGGTTGTAATTCTTTTTAGAGGCCACAAAATCGTTGAAGGCGTTTTTGACATCGTCTTGGTTTTTTGAAGCCCTTTGCTCTCTAAGCCAGATGTGTGTCCGCAGATGCTTGAGAAAAGTGGTGATCGGTGGGCGACAGGTCTGGTGAGTATGGTGGATGAGGCAGAGTTTCATAGCCAAATCCGTTTATTTTCTGGAGGGTAAATTGTGCAAAGTGTGGTCGGTGCATTGTCCGTGGAGAAGAGTCCGGAATCGTGGAGTCCCTTCATATTGACCAACCTTGGGCACATGCGTTGAAGCTTCTGATGCATTTCGTCGATTTGTTGACAGTACTTCTCTGCCGTAATTGTTTCACCAGGATTCAGGAAGCTGTGATGGATGAGACCGGCGGCAGACCACCAAACATGAAGTTCATCTTCAAGGCTGGTGTTGCCACAGCGAAACTTCTGGAACCAACGTTGGACCGTAGATTCGTTGATACTTCCTTGACCCCAAACTTCGTTGATGTTCCGAGCTGTATCGGCAGCGTTTCGTCCTAGCTTGAACTCATAGAAGAAAATAGTGCGAAATTCACGTTTCGACATCTGCAATAAAATGTCAATAAAAATTATAATAAAATGAATTACAACCAATCTTGGAGTATCATTTAGAAAGAGCATGAGATGAGCTTCCGAATAGTATATAACACTTCATATTAAAGTAACATATTATTGGAATAAAATAAGTATGAAATACAAGCAAGCAAAATCCTGCATTTCTTTTGCAACGACCTAATAAGAGAGATTTGACGCCTTCTCCAATCTCGCGGGCCTTCGCACCCTTCCATCGCGTTTCCTGCAGGCATAGGACTTGGATATTCCTGCGTCTCAACTCACGAGACTTCCGGTAAACGACCACCACGTTCAGGGTCCCAATTCGAACTAGCTTCTTTGGCCGAGGTCGTTCACCCCTCGGTAGCCCTCGCATACTGACCACAGAACTCGGGCGAGGGTTCTGCGCGCCACTTCCGGGTGACGTCCTAGCTTTTACACTGATTCTATTGCGACTTGTCATGGTTGTTGTGACGGGTTCCTCCATCAGCCGGCCTGTCAACCTGGGCCTGACGCTGGTATCGTCCCCATTTTTGTTTTTGCAAGGCAGGTTTGTGCCTCGGCAGGGATCAGGCCCGAACAGAGCTCAGTGTGAGCTACAATCCACGGCACTCTGTCGCTGGGGACAGACTCTGCAAAATACGACCCTCCCCTTCTAAGAATTTTGTCGTCTGATGCGAAATCCTTCTGAATTTCCTCCCCTTGTCCGAGTCCCTCAAAATATTCTCCCAGTACGACCCTCTTCAGCATCCCAACTTCCAACTCTGTTCCGGAGTCTTCTCCCCGAAAATCCTCCCGGTTTGGAGTAATGGGGGCTATAGAAGGCACGTGAGACGAGATTCCGAAGAGCGTCAACAGGGGAAATCATTTTTCTCAGACACATATCCATCCACTAAACTTCCCTCCCCCCTTCCGCCAGGATCAAATACGCCCCTCGCTGAGGGATTCCCATCGTACGCGTGTCCTGGCTACCTTTGCATTTGGCATCCGATTCCCATCGTACGGCGTGTCCTGGTTACCTTGCATTTGCATCCAAATTAAAACTATCAATGCTATGGTGTACAATAATGTGCTGGAAGCGGCCCAAATTCATTTCAGCTCATGGCCGCTATATGTGACAAGAAAACGAACGGCAGCGGTGCCGTCACACGCCTTTGTGGACTAAAACCCACTTCATCAATAAAATAAGGAAACATGAGGAGATTACAGTCCTCATCATTGCGGACTGTCGGAGGCGGCGTGAGCAGCGCGGTTCGAGTCCGCGTTCGGCTCCCTTGCTCTACCAATGGCGATCGGGTAGAGATCGATTTAGGAAGGAAACAACCAATGATGGAAACGCTGAGAACCGCTGATTGCGAACCAACAACTGCGATGATATTAAGTGTACACGTTCACTTGAAAAATAAACTCATTTTAGTAGTTGAAAATACATCTGATAAAACCCTGAACATATATCAACATGAAAGATCATCGAATAATTCACACGAACTGTTGAGCAGAAATGGATATTTTCAAGCTTCAGATCATACGGACCCATAATTCTCCTTCACACAATTAAAATCACTACAGAGCACAAAATGAGGGGCAAAGGTAGTTTGGGGGAGGGGGCGCACAGCGATGCACGATGCCACCTCGTGACTTGCCTGCCTTCTCGAAACGCCAGAATGAGCACTGGTGAGAGGGCGCAGGCAAACAGACATGACGTAACGTAGTCGCGCAGACGCCTGTCACCCCCCAACTACCTTTAGCGCCAAAACAAAGTAAATCTGGGCAGAGTTCCGTTTCACTTGAATGACAGTATAACAGAAAATGAGATAATACAAAAAATCCGGGCTATTTTGAGACTTAAAGTGAAGGCAGTGACTAGCCACCGAAAGTAATGGGCACACATTCTTCTGAGTATACGCTTTTGACATTATTCCATAGCAACTACCGGAATACCGTAAGAAACAACTGAGGCTCCGGTGAGATACGGTAATTTACATCGGGATTTAGCTCGATGCATCGCTTCCACGAGGACTCGAAGTCGACTGTCCGTTCCATCGGTACCCGTCAACGTGCGATTCGCATCAGATGAAAAGCACAAATCCACCTGAAGTAAAAACAGAACTGAGGGCACAGTTCGGCTTGATGGGTGCATTTTGCTGGTTCTCATTGATCACTGCCGCCTCCTGTGAACAAAGCAAATTCGTGAGACTATGCAAGAGGAGGAGCTTCGCTTCGGCTTCGAACAGCAAAAGTACAATGCCCCTCCCAAGCCGAACGCGCCGTGTGAAACTTAGCTGCAAGTTTTACAATGAACTTTGTTATGAATACTCACAAGCGCCATGAAGTATCGATCGATTTCTCCATCAGTCACTGTCCACAAACATCCAACTATTGACGGACACTGGGCGACGGTATAGTCATACACAGAGCTTTTTCCATCCATACCCCATCCATACGGCGTGAGTCGAACACTAAAAAAGGAGACAAATAACTGGAGTGAAGTCGGATAGGCGGTTTATCTCCTAGAG